TCCCACCAGGCTCCCCCTGAAAGGAGGAGGGGGGTTAAGACCAGCACGTTCTCTGTCAGCATGCACACATGGGAACATTACATGGGGCTTCTCATACACAGACTGTTGATTACTGGTGTTAGATGGAGGCTTGATGTGTATGGATGTACATTGACCACAGAGAACAGGAAGTGGATCTTCATCTTTAATGATACAAGCAGGGAGGAGACATGAAGAAGATACTTCATCACCTTGTCTAATAGTAAGGTTGCACCTGCATAAAGTCCCTCCTCTATTCAGAGCAGTGGTGTTCTGCAGCAGCCTTCTACATACCTGGAGAGTGTCCAGTCTCCAGTTCTGGATCCTCCAGTCCAGCAGACAGAAGTTCAGTCCTGAGGTCTCCTGGATTGATTGTAGCTCAGGTCAGCTCTCTCAGGTGGAGGGGGTTGGAGCTCAGAGCTGAGGCCAGAGAAAGCACCAGCCTTCCTCTGCTGACCTGACATCCTGACAGACTGAACACACAAAACAACACACAGAACCCTCTGTCAAACACCTGCTGCCTGTCTAAACTGTCATCAGATAAACAGGTTTGATGGATCTGACCTGAGAGTCACCAGTGTACAGAGTGGACTTCTCCAGTCCAGCAGACAAAACAGCTTCCACTCCCGAGTCCTGCAGGTCTTGTGACTCAGGTCCAGGTGTCTCAGACTAGAGGACTGGGAGCTGAGGACTGAGGACAGGAGCTTCACAGCGTTCTCTTCTGAAGACAGCCACTCAGTCTAAGGAGATGATCATGATGAATTAAAAGAAGAAAGGAAGTTATTTTCTCTTCCTGTGAGGAAGACAGAAAGTGTCTTTATATAATGATGCATAAATCAACACTCCTCACACTTACACAGCTTTGTTAGAGACTTTGACCACTGCAGCAGCTTCAGAAAGCCCTCCCCTGAAGCAGAGTATTTTTCAGGTCAACGACGTCCAGCATCTTCTTCTTGAGGGACAGTAAGATCAAGGACCAGAGCTGACCATTTGAGCAGAGAAACAGTTTATCTGTGGAAGAGACGTCCGATCTCAGGGACTGTGGATCTGCTCCACTTAGAGAACGATCATTCAGTTTCATTCAGACAGATGGAACAGGTGATGCTTTTCTCTGCAGCGGGGAGTCTCTTCAATCTTCTCTTGATGTACTGAACTGTCTTCCTGATTAGTCTGTGAGTCACTTTCCTGTCTGTGACATCAGACCTGTAGGAGATCGGATGGTTCTGCAGTGAAAAAGACCCAGGAGGAAGCTGAGGGAACAAGTCCAGTGTCCGTCTGGACTCTGTAAGGCCTCGTCCATCAGCTCTCCGAGAGAAGTTTGTCTCTGCAATTCGTTCGTCTTGGTTTCAGACTTTTCTTTGGAGGATTGATTGTTCTTCTGACATCCAGGTTGAGTCCAGACTTGATGAAGGTCAGATGGACATGAAGCAGCCAGAAACTCTCTGAACCACTCAGATGACGAAGAAGAACACCTTGTCCTGGTACAGGCCTCCTCCTCTTTTAAAAAGAAAGATCTGTGTGAAACACTCTGAGTACACTGAGGCTGCTCTGAATATCGATGCCACACTCTGTCAAAAGTCTGATTCATTAGAAGATCAGGTTTCCTTTTCTGCAGCTTGCTCAAAAAGCCAGTTTTCCCAGAGACCAAGCATCTTCCTGCTCTCTGACTCCAATGTGGATCTGTCTCGAATCCTCCATCATCTTTGACCTTCTTCAGTTTAGCTGAACCACCAGGAAGTGGTGTTACATCTCAATCAGCGGTCTTTGGGCAGCTCTCCTCCCTCCTCTGGTTTTCATCTCCTCCTCCAGAAAACTTAGCAGTGATCCAGCAGAAGACTGGGATGTGGCACATGATGTGGAGGCTTCGTGAGTCTTTGATGTGGGAGATGATGCTGCTGGCCTGGCTCCTCATCTCTGAACCTCTTCACTGAATACCCTCCTTTGTGGTCATGTGAACCCCTGACCCTCTGTCACCACGTCAACACACTGACGGAGGGATCTGATTGGCTGCTGCAGGTCGTTCGTGCGGTATCCAGAGGACGAGCAGAGAAGCAGTTTCCCCCTGGATGAGATTTTGTCATGCAGCAGTCCCACTGAGGTTGGACTCTGTAACATCAGTCAGGCTCTCAGTGTTGTGGAAGTCCAAGGAAGTCTACCACTCATCCAACCTCAAAATGAACCGACCTGGAACTGAATCAAACCCTGCAGATTCCTGCTTCTTTGGTCAGTAAAGAAGTGCATGAACAAGTTCCACCAAGCTGAACTTTCCTACTCTTTCAGCACCATTCAGCTCTCTGAAGTGTGAAAGTGGAAATGTGAACTGTATGTTCCTGGTTGGCTTTGCTTCAGCCCAGTCCAGAGTGAACTTCATTTTAAGACTGTCTTTCCAATGCCAGCCACTCCCTTTATCATCACTGTTCTGATTGGTCCGTCTCTTCCAGTAAGGCTCTAAAGATGTCTTCTTGGTCTGATGGTTGTTTCTGGCTCTGGACTGGTTTCCTGGATCTGTTTCAATCTGTCTGACCTCATGGTTCATCATTGACCTCTCCAGTCCCTCCCTCTGTGATGTAGAGCTCTGTGTAGATCTGATTTCAGAAGGTTGGGTTTTCCTGCCTTTAGCGATTCCCTCAAACACACACTGGAACTTCTTCTTCAGGTTAGATTTGAGTCTCGGTCGGCACATAGCAGATGATTCTGGATGGACACAAAAGCGCATTTTCTTAAAGTTGCTGCAGGTAACTTTTTCAGCTGCAAGAGGTGAGGAGAAGTGAGACTAATAAAGCACTGTAAGTTAATCCTCACCACCTCCTTCCCCTGCCATCCTGTTTCCTGAAACTACAGCAGGAACAAGAGATGCCTGATTACGACAAACTTCATGAGGCAGCTGATACCACAATTTTTTTAAGTAAACCAATTTATTAAAAAATATTGTTAGCGTTATCGATGCCACTGTCAACAATAATGTTAGCTGCAGTAACAGTAGCCAGTGGCGCCAAGTGAAGAGGAGGGATGTGTCTGGATACAGGCTGTGAACGACAGCGGGTTGGCTCATACTGCTACCTGGGGACCGGTCATTGTTGTGTAATGTCAGAGGAAATGCGGCGGCAGGAAGGGGAGGATGTGATTAATTAGATTGACATGATCCACCTGTGCTCTCTCCTGTCACTGCTGGTACTGCTCACCTGTTGTCCGCTGCGGTGTGGCGTGCTGCTCACCTTCTTTGTTTGATGATGTCCATGATTTACTTGGAGTAAGTTTTGTTTTGTTTTTTTGTTGTTTAATGATGCACTGTTTCCATCATAATTATCCTGTCCCTGTTGTTAATGCCAAGCTCTTATTGTCAAGTTGTAAGGAAACAGACGATCCTCTAGAAGACTCATACCTTGATGTTCCCCTAATATTTTAGCCCCCTTGGTTGTGGAATGAGTTACGTAAATTTGAATAGTATAGATATGATTATAAATCCCTGGGTTGTTTAATCTTGAGTGAGGTTTCTGAGCGATGGTGCTGCGTTAATTATTTGTGTGAATCTTTAATTATCACCTTTTGTCTAATGAATGTATTTTTTCTTATTATTTTCTTATTAATTTTTTAGTTAATTGCACTTCTTTTATAGTATTTGGTCATTTGTGCTATGAGTGTTAAGTTTCTTTTGTCTTGTGACCAACATTGTAAAGGTATTAATGAAATTTATGCTCGTGTATTCTAACTAATGTTCTTTTTTTTTTGTTTGTATTTCTTATCTATAGTTTTCATGGTGCTCGACACGAATAAAATATGCGCACCAGTATGAAACTTTCCACCTCAGTTATTGGTGCCAAGGGCCAGCTACACAGGCTAATGGCGACATGGACAAGAAAAGGCTGCTGCTCTCTCTTAAGTGATATGACAACCTTGCAGGTACTTCTGCATGTAGTGAAAGTGACAGTTTTAGCAAGTTAGTGGGGATTATGGCACTAACATTAACAGAGCTAGCTGACAGAGCTAAATGAACTAGGCCAGAGGGGATTCATGGTACGCAGCTTGACATGAATAATCTTTTCACATCTAAAATCAAACAAGTTCAATTTTTTCTTTAAATACCATCCAAACCAGAGCACTAAAAATGCACTTGTAAAGAAAGCCTATCGATACTAAAAATGGCACCAAACGTGCATGGCTTAGATACAGTACAGAGATCGAACACACATTTTGTTTTGTTCAGTTTGTTCAACTTTTTTCATGCAAGGACAACATCTTATAAGTGGAATGAATGACTGGTGACATATTAATTGAAGAATTGAGGAGCATGAGAAAACTGGCCATGGTCTTGAAGTAACTGCAGAGTTGCCAAACTGATATCTATTGGTTAGCCTACATATTATAAATACCCTGATATTGTGATGCAGGTGTGGGAGAAAAACAGAGCTGGTCCAAACAAAAATTGCCTGGACTGAATCGAAGCAAAGGAGTCAGGGTGAGATAAGGATCTTAAATTTTTAGAGAAATCCTCTTACTGCTCTGCAGACAGTCAGCCAGCTGCTCCTGCTTCATTCTCCTCAGGAAGTTCACTGTGATCTTCACAAATGCCTCTCTGCTCCTCCTCTGCTCTTCATCCTCAGCGTCCAACACCTCCTCATCCTCCCTCTGACTCCCTGAGCATTCTGGGTAATCTGGACTCAGAAGCTTGTGCATCTTCTTCAGCTCATTCTTGACAAAAGTGACCATGTTCTCCTCCAGCAGCTGGAACAGAAAACTATATGAATGACAGCATCAAACATCAGATCCATGTTGGACAGACTGAGGGCAGACTGAGCACTGGGACCTCTGAGCTCTCCTGTCCACTCTGTGGAGAATCATGAAAGAATGAGCTCACATTATGATCCGTCCACACAGAGACAGACAACAGCTAAAGGTCCATATCAGTGTGGATGTGATCTAGCCAATCAGACAGACTTCCCTGTTGCGGTCAAAGGGTTTACTAGTCCTCGCCGATGCCCGCACTGAGAATCAACAGCTTCAGTCTGCAGTTGTTTGTAGCTTTCAGCTCAAGTGTTTGCTTTCAGTCCCAACCTAGCTCTCCCAAACCCGTCACTGTTTCACTCCACCTTCCCAGTGAGGACGTTCACCAAACAGACAACACTTTGATTTCAGACCAGGTTCGCAACATCAGTCGTACAATAACTAGTTCTTTTCTTACAATAAACCTGAGTCTTACTGTCAGTTGACAGCTTACATCTGATTAGTCGATGGATTCGTCGCCCTTTAAAGTCACGAATGAAACATCCTTCCCGCATAGGCGTCGCTCTTTTAAAGACCAGACGAGTGGGTTCAGAGGAAGAGTCTGGTCTCTGCTGCTGGATGCCTGAAGACAAAACAGAACTGATAAATGTTGCATTGTTTGAATATAAAACTGATGTTATTCAATCTTTATACACAATGCATTTAGTGAGTTTTTCTGACTGTTTTAAATTCTGACCTTCCATCAACAGAACTGGCTGAAATGAACAGGTTGACCGCATGGGATTTGTTGCTCTTCATGGACACACAGCTGGGTCCAGGTCCAGGTCAGGTCCAGGTCCAGGTTCAGGTCCAGCAGAGTGTGGTGTGGTCTCTAAACACTAACACACACACAGAGCTTTTGAGTGTGAATAATGATGGACAGGATGTGAGTCATGGACAGTTAGAGATCCTCATCTCACTCTGAGCTCTGGTCCTGGCTCTCATGTTCCCCACACAGAAGTGGTTTTAAGAGGAGGGGCTCCCTCCTCCTGTTTCCTCAGCACTGATCCATGCTGCTGAGTTCATCATCCACATCAGCTCACACACACTTTCTATCGCTTCTGTGGAGAGAAAACACATCATTCATCTGCACATCAACTCAATGTACATCATTTCTCCAGCTGCTCCTCACTGATTGGCTCTTCTATTCTGTTTCATATCAGTGTGAGGCACGAGGAAGCTGCCATCAGCTGCTGTACTTCTACCATCCGTCCACTAGATGGCGTCATAAGCTGCAGTGACGTGAAGGAGGCAGCCCAGCAAAACACTTGGGTCATGTGCGATCATTAACATCCACTGATTCAGTTTTAAACAACGACCGACCACTAAACATCTAAGAGAGATTAAGAGTACTTTAAAACACTTAATGGTCAAAACACAATGTTGATCTGATTCAGTGACTTCACTTATTCATTAATATTCATTATCCTCTGATGTCCCTCACAATAAAGCTTCCTTCAATTTCACAGTAAAACAGAACATCATGAGACATACTGCAGACAGGAGCTGATCACAGCTGATTCAGCTGCTGCATAAGAGACAGTTTGACTAAATATTATTTTATAACATGGTTTAAACATACTGGACACTCTCCTCTTACATTCCATACACTTTCCTGTGATACAAACCTGGAGCACATAAAGACAGAAACTCAAACTGTTTCAAATCCCCTGGTCTGAGGAAGATGTAGGACAGATTGTGCACGATGAAGACTTGAAGTAACATGGATTCTTCATAAACACAGTGACTGCCCTCCAATCAAGTCCTCTACTGTGAATGTGAAGAGATTTTTCTCATCTCCACCTCCCAACAGGCTCTTACAACATCTCTACAACAGGAACAACAGGCAGCAACACTACAAGCTTTCAAGTACTCTCTGCACTTAACTCTGAAAAAGGACTCACAGGAAACAGTAATTTCTGTTGTGTCTGACTTTACGGGCTGGTGGAGATTGAAGTCTTCTACACTATATAAAGGTACTTTGTTTTCCGACAGGTGAGGACAGGAAATAAACATGAGGTGTTTTGATCATATTGTTTGATTCCAGTAAATCAAGTGACAACAACATGGATGTTAATCCTCAACACAAGAGTTCTTTTAACCTCTAACCTGATGAAAATAAGAAACTGAACAAATACAAACATTACACAGCAGGAATACAGCTCACCTTCTCACTCTTTTTCTGCAGGCGTCAATGGAGACTCTTCTTCTTCAACTCTGTTATGAACAAGTGTAAGTTTGCTTTGTTTGATACGTTCACTTTATCTTTAGTGACTTCACTGCGTGTTTCCGCTGCGTGGTAATGTTTGTATTTGTTCAGTTCTTATTTCATCAGGGTTAGAGGTTAAAGAACTGCTTGTGTTGAAGGGATTAACATCCATGTTGTTCTGAATACATTGATGTCACTCTCATGGGCACGAATCCACTCCACAGAGCACCCAGAAACCATGCAATAACCAAACAGTCGAGACTTGAGTATATAAAATCTCGCTTGTCCCTGCACAATTTGCTATTAGCGCAAACAGAAACGCTAAAAGAATGGTACGGCCTGGATCTTAAAATAGGGAGGGCGATGAGGTAGAGATATTCTGCTTATCAGATGTAATCTTCGCGACATCCTGTAATAGAGCTCCAGTACACAGCAACCAGAGCATGAGCGAGAGTTATTACCTGGTCGAAGCACCGTACTCTAAGATGTTGAAGCCGCTAGCACGAGAGATCCCGAGAGGAATTCCTACCTATGAAGAAAGCACGTGTTAGTATTGTTGGTGGCGGGCACTATAGATATCTCACTCGTGTTGTCGAGGGGTATGCTGATTCACAATTGAGGCTCTGTTGGGGAGGTGGAATGAATAAGAGAAAAATCCTCTTTCACATACATGATAAAGATGAAACTAGATGTGGAAGTGAGGCACGAACCACGTGTGTATATGAAGATCCATGTTACGTTAAAGAATACACATTCGTAGCAATATTCCTGTCCTACATCTTCTCAAACACAGGGATTTTGAAACAGTTTGATTTCTGTCTTTATGTGCTCAGGTTTTGATATCACAGGAAAAGTGATGAATGTTAACATGAGGGGGTGGATGTGGTGAGCAAGTGATATTGCGCATATGTGGGAGCTCCGATGGAATATCAATGCAATAATATATCATAGATATTATGTATGCTACCACAACTGTTCTACCTATTTTAAAGCAGGCAGTGCAAATTTCTTTAGCGAGTCGATGAGTCGACTCGCGTGGCTTCTGCAGTCGTCATCGCATACACTTCTCTTCATCTCTCTTAACATCTCCGAGAGTTGATAATCTTGCTACAAGAAGGCACGACTAGAAGATTCATAAGGTGCTCTCCGCAAGGAGCACTAGGTCCAGGACGCGCACTAAGTTGCAAACTAATGCAGTAAAGTGAAGTCACTCGCATAGTCAGAAAAACATGTTTGCTATGACCATTTAAGTGTGAGGCTATTAAAAGTCATGGTCGTGTAATATCTCGTAAAATTTTGAATGTTTAGGATGGTCGGAGATGTGTAAAACTAGAAAGCACGCATGAGAAGATGTGAGTAATCATAAATGATCAGTCTTGATGAACTCTGCAGTGAGGGACACCGCTATAGTAGTGTTGAGCCTCGTGCGCTCTGCTCTCTCTTCTTTGCTTTAACGTCACTGTGAGTGACATGCTTTCGACTCATATTGGTAATGAGCACCTCATCTAGTGGACGGATGGTAGAAGTACAGCAGCTGATGGCAGCTTCCTCTGCCTCACACTGATATGGAAACAGAGAAGAAGAGCCAATCAAGTGGAGGAGCAGCTGGAGAAATGATGTACATTTGAGTTGATGTGCAGATGAATGATGTGTGTTTCTCTCCACAATGAAAGGTAGAAAGTGTGTGTGAGCTGATGTGGATTGTGAATCAGGCAGCATGGATCAGTGGTGAGGACAGAGAGGAAGGGAGCCCTCCCTCTAAAACCACTCTGTGTGGGGAACATGAGAGCCAGACCAGAGCTCAGAGGTGAGATGAGGATCTCTAACTGTCCATGACTCCATCACTGCTCCAATCATTTTCACACTCAAAGCTCTGTGTGTGTTTAGTGTTAGAGACACACCACACTCTGCTGGACCTGAAACCTGGACCCTGGACTGGACCCTGACCTGGACGCACTGTGTGTCCATGAAGAAGAACAAATCCATGGGTCAACCTGTTCATTTCAGGCCCTTCTGTTGATGGAAGGTCAGAATTTAAAACAGTTCAGAAAGACGTTTCTCACTAAAAGTCAGTTGTTGTGTTTTATTTAAAGATTGAAGATATTTTTCATCAGTTTTTATTCAACATGAACATCTTATCAGTTCTGTTTTTGTTTCAGGATACAGCAGGCAGAGACCCCCCAAGAAAACCTTTTTTTACTCCTGAACCCAGCTGTCTGTCTTTAAAGAGCGACGGCTCATCGGCAGGATCATTCACTTTAAAGGGCGACGTCCATCAGCTGATGCAATGTAAGCTGTAACTGACAGTAAGACTTCAGGTTATTGTAAGAAAAGAACTAGTTTGTACGACGTGTTGTTTGGACCTGGTCTTGAAAATCAAAGTTGTTTGTGTCTGTTTGTGCAGAACGTCCTCACTGGGGAAGGTGGAGGTAAAACAGTGGAGGGTGTGGTGAGAGTGTTGCGACTAAGGCGAAACCACCTGGAGCTGGAACAGCTCAAACCAGCTGCAGACTGAGACTGTTGATGTCTCAGTGGGATCAAGGCGAGGACTAGTAAAACCTTTACCGCTACAGGGAGTCGTCGTGATTGGGCTGTGCACAATCACAAGCCACGTGGACTCATGGACCTTTGCCTCTGTGCTCTGTCACTCTGTGTGGACAGACATAATGTGAGGCTCATTCTGTCATGATTCCTCCAACAGGTGACGCAAGGAGAGACTGCAAAGAGGTTCCCAGTGCTATCAGTCTGCCCA